AAGCTATGCTGAATAGAAGACCAGAATATCCATGCCACAATACGGTATGAGGTGGCCTTCCCCAATGTCTTGAGTCACAAAATAAACTGCTCTTGATTACAGCTTTCTTGGAGAGATTTGTCAAATCTCGACGTAACTGCCCCAGGTTGGATGAATTCTGAATAGATTTATCGATGTGATAACCCATGATTGATCAGGCTTGAAGATATTTATCGATATGATAGCCTCTGATTGGTCGAGCTTAAAGAGATTAATCTACGTGATAGCTTTCTGATTGACGGCTTTGGGGGAATGCCCCATATTTGGATGAACTCGGCGAGATCGACTCTCGACTTGATTGCCCCAGATTGGCGGACTCTGCTAACTTCATCCTTGAAGGATACTTAGACTGTGAAGCACCAAGATGATTTCTCTTGACAGAATCTCTGGTTAATATGTCGCTGGATAAGTCATTTCTCTTGTGGCAGCTGACTCTTGCTTCAACAGGGTATTCAAGTCTCTCTTCTCTGACAAGATTGAGCTCTTTACCTGATTGTTCATTGTGTAAACTTACTTGATGTTGATCAGTTGTTTTGTATGCAGAAGATTGTTTATTATGAGAATGATAATTCTAATGCAACACATATGTAAGTCTTGAAGTTTGAAAAAACTTTGAATGAAATGACGTCACAACTCTGTTGTGAACGAGTCACTAGCTAGAGAGAAACATTTGAAAATTCCCTTTTTATGAAAGATAATGCGAGCATATGATTCCAACACAGATATTCAAACATACCTCTTAGGAGTCAGTTAAACGCTATCTCGTTGTAGCACACTTTCGAATTGACCCATGCTTCAATTAGGACTTTTATGGGTTGTAACGTGGCCTGGTTGACAGTTTTAGAAAAAAAGGATTTAAGGCTCAAAATTATTTGGTGCCCACCCATTCTCCATGATGTTCTCCATTCCTATGTTCATTTGACCCGATACAAGCATTCATCTCTCTAGAAGAGTTTGTGATGGTTGAGGAACCATTGTGGTTTCTTGGACACGACCGTCACTAACTTCTGATTTTGGTGTCCGATCAGATGACTTTTTATTTGATGAGGATTTTCATTGGTAATCCTTTTCTCGCCTTTTTGGCTTTTCAATTTCCTTCTTGCTTTCCTTAATTTTTTCCTGGACAAACTCTTTTGAATTTCAATTTGGAAGTCCAGCGGGATGCCCCAACTTTTGCCTAAGCGACTTGTTTTCAAGTTTCGACTTAGCGGGGATTTTTGTTTCTTTCTTATTCGTATTTCCACTTTCAACAAATCATTGATCTTTGCGTTGTCTTTGATTTGTCAGAAATGATCGTGATTGTCTGAGTTTTTAGTAGATAAGGGATAGCCATTGTTGTATTGTCATCTGTTGACTTCTTGATGTGCGAGGGATACCCATTAGGATATCGTTAATTGATGCACGTTACTGATAGATGAGGGTTAATCCATTGTGGTTTTGACATTCTTCAACCTTTTACTGGATAACCATGGTTGTATCCTTGGATGCACACTCTTGATGAGTTCTGAATGCTTGATCAGATTACCTGAACACTACCCGCCCCAGGGTTAAAATGAGGGTTTTTTCTGAACATAAAAGAAACTCCTACTTCGAAGGCTCAGAGGGGTTGACGAGGGTCTATCTCCCTTATATCGCTGGTGTTTAGGGATTGAAACAAGGCATGTACATCGTCAGCAGAGTCTTACTCAAAAGCGCACCAACCAGATATTTTGCATTTTTAGATTATCGTCATCCTCCTTCCAATTCTTTACCTAAGCATAAGACTTGGAAACTTGGCATCAATATGCAAGTAAAACATTTAAAGAGTGACAACGAATGGATGAGTAAAAATGAAAGGAACACTTCAAGACAAGCATACCTATTGCATTAAGATTTTCATTCAAAAATAGACAAGTTTCTACATGCTAGCAATGTTTAAACAGACAAGCAAGAATGCGAATGAAAATGCAGCAAAGAGAGCCAATGATTGTCGTTGTTGAGGAGACTTGACTCCGTATGGATTTTTTAATTATGACGACTTTCTGTAGTCTTGATGCTTGAGTGGGAGGGAGAATCCCCTTCAGATCTGATGCGAACATGACAGTCTTTGAATTGATCTTGTTTTGGACCTTGTCTCTGGATGACATACCATCTTCAATCGATTGGCCTGGTGCCCCAGTATAATATGCATAGAAGATCCTTTCAGAAGAACGAATGAATTCTTTATCAAGTGAATTGGTATAAATTACATCACAAAGCATCTTGCGCCATAAAGGAACAATACAGTTCATCTTCTATCAGAACAACAGAGATATCCAGTTGGTGAGAAAGAGTCTGACAGTTGGCCAAATAGGAATTGGAATTTTGGAAGAGACGTCAGACAAGTGCTGGACTTTATACTTCAACCCATTTACAGTCTTCGATGTCAAAACCGGGTGCCTCAGAATAGGGGATACATCTAGCATGTGTATTTCAATCGGAATAGATGTTTGTGGGAAGAGGACCCAAATATTAGAGCTTTACCAATTGAACTTCCACCAGATGAGGAAATAACTAGATGTAATGCACTGGGATCGCATCAATATGCTCATCAGGCTTCTTTTGTCTTTGCTTAAAATCTTTTTCCATGAATTCACTAGGGGAATAAAGACTGGCTGCTGTCAAACAAATCAGAGAATGCAAAGCTGTGGAGAGTGCCCCTGATTGAATAGTCGAATGCCCCGGTGTAGTAACCACATCTGACGTTGGTCAACAAGAACGAAGCGCTGATCCCATAGTAAATGGGAACCATATGCTAATAGGATGCTCCAAGAACTCAAAATTGTGTAGCACTCATTGGTTGAAAGTAATTCCCAAAAGATAAGGAGAAGAGGGGACCTGCTGCAGCAATAAGTGCAAGATTGTTGACATCATTATCAGAACTTTCATGACCTGCCTCATCTGAGTCTTCAATCCATTATCTTCCTGTTTGAAGAAATTTACGACCATGGGCCAAAGCTTGCATGTATATCACTTGGATTTATCCCATACTGATCTCTAAGCATGTGACAGTAAGAATCAAGTTGAACCTCTGAGGAGAACACATGGTCTAAATAAGAATCCCCCAATCTTCGGGTACTTGTTATGGTGCATGAATATGCATGGGGTGCATGAATGGATGATGTGTCATGTTATGTCATTCCCAAGGAATTTACGTGCTTTGATTTTGATTTTACGCAAGTAAGAGATGGAAGAGTTTAGCACAAGACTTGCAAATGTGATTCCTTTGAAATAATAGAACATGTATGTTAAAACTCATCGATTTGTTTCATTTACTTTACTTTTCAAGCTATTCGACGATAGTCTACTAATCTAAGAGTTAAAACTCAAAATTGTTATTTCAATAATGTTATTTGGAAATATTGATATGTAAATGAATATGAAATTTCAAATTTGGAATAGGTGTTATTTGTTTTTGATAAATTTGAAAATCAAAATAATTTATAAAATTGAGTAGTATTTTTCATAAATGATATTGAATCAGCTGATAATTTGTTTGAAGAATTTATTTCATTAAAAAAATTGGAAGTTAATGTTCTATTTGCGAGTTACTTGGAGAATGTTTTTTTAGCACTAATCATGTTTTGAAAAAAAATACAGAATTAATCATATTTCGAAGAAAACTACGTAAATAATCATGTTTTAAAAAAAATGAATTAAAGAGGAGACGCCACTTAAATTGGCGCCTCCTATATATTTTTCAAACTTTTTCAATTACCTGTGGATTTTCCTGCAGATTTTACATTACCTACAGACTTATCTGTGGATTTTCCTACGGAATTACCTGTGGGAAAATAGTCCGCAAATAAATCTACAAGTAAATGCGCAAGAAATATCAAATCTGCAGGAAAATCCACAGATAAATAGAAAAGATTGAAGAAAAAAAATTAGGAGATGGTTAAGCGCCATCTTACTTGACGTCTTCTTTTAAAAATCAATGCATGTGTCATCTGAGATGACTGATGCATTATAACAATTTCTAAAACATAATCATTTGCGTAAATTTCTCCAAAATATTATTATTTGTGTATTTTTGTTTTCTAACACATGATTATTGCTATAAAAAAAATTCATTAGGAGGGTTTTATATTTAGGTCCATGATTAGACAAGATGGACTTAAAAGGGTGAATTTCATTTTCTTGATTATATTTACGAATTATGCATGCCTTTTCATTACTAAAGATTGTATAATAATAAATTAAATATGGCTTGTTTTGTCAATTATTCAACCACTTTTCTTAGACAAACAAGTAGTATGGATATTTCACTCAATGTTATAAAAATCGAAAGAAAAAAAAAAGGAAAAAATAGTTAAAATACGGGGATTAAAGTTGACTAGTTAAATAATTGTCGTTGAATTGTTTATTAAATTTAAATTAAAAAAATTAATAAATATACTATTAAACATCTTAATACAATTAATTTATATTATAATTTATAAAATAAATTTTTTAAATAAATACAATATTAATAAACAAGCTTACAAAAGAAAATTTGTTAAAGACCAATATTTATATATTTGTTCTAATTGCCTAATTCAAAATTATAAGTTCTTCATCAATATAATTTTCCACATCTCTTTTAAGACCAACATCAGTTATCTCATGTCGATAAATATTACATTATTTCTTCTCTTTTTATTTGCATTTACATTGTCTCGTGTCTTTCAATTTTATTTTTTATTTTTCGTCTATATAATTTTAAATGTTTGATATATTTAATTTTTTAGATTTAAACAAAAAAATAAAATGAAGTAAAACATAAAAAAAAAATTATGTTTGATTTTTTGAAGTGTCTCATTCATCAAAATTAGTCTCGATTTTAAGATTATTTTAATTTTTTTCGTAATTGAACTAAATTTATTCCAATTTTACATACCTAACCATTTACTGATATATATGAAACCGAATTAAATAACTATTCAAGATTAAAGCAATTCAATATGCGGATTCAATTTGATTTTTAATACATTAATACGTTTTCAATTAAATAACGGTGATATATTACAAATGATAACACATTCATTACTTTCATTCGAAATCAAACTTGTCACCACATATACAAAGATGATACATAACCAGAATAGATTGATGACTATCTATACCTCTTTTATTCAACATCAAACGTTACTGATTCATGAAATTTATTACTTAGAATGTGCATCATGTTTGATGATATAATCAGTTTCCATTGTCGGAAGCACCATGTCCACCATGTCCACCACCACCACCATAATGTCCACCACCATAGTGTCCACCTCCATAGTGACCACCGCCATAGTGTCCACCTCCGTAGTGTCCACCTCCGTAGTGTCCATATTTGGCATCATTTACTTCATTTGACTTTTCAACGACCTCTGCAAATACAACCGTGTAATGTTAATATACATATATTGGCTAGACAGATGATACATAACCAAAAAAGAATCATGTGTTTGTTCAACACCCAACATTATTTATTCTTAAATTTTGTTAGTTATTATGAATTTTATATAATTAGTTACCATTGTGGGATACACCATGTCCACCATGACCACCACCACCGTAGTGACCACCGTGCCCATGGCCATGACCACCACCACCATAGTGTCCACCATATTTGGCATCATTTACTTCATTTAATTTTTCAACAACCGCTGCAAATAAAACCGTGTGTTTATATACATATATTGGCAAGATAGATAATACATATTAAGAATGTGATGTAATTAGTTACCGTTGTCGGATACAACTCCATGTCCACCGTGATGACCACCTCCACCATAGTGACTACCGTGTCCGTGGCCATGACTACCACCACCATAGTGACCATATTTGGCATCATTTACTGCAAATACAACCGTGTGTTCATATACATTGTGCTCTGGAAAATATACATTTGAATCTCAAATTAAGAAAAATAATGTATAGCTAGCTCACCCTCTTCGGTATTAGGGGAAGTCTCAGCTAAGTCCCTAGCTGACACCTGAGAGGAAATGAGAAGAACCATGGCCAATAGGCCTAGGATGAGGATTGCATTTTTGGGATCCATTGTACTCAATTTAATATCAATTCAAATGTGATATTTGGTAGTGAAGGATGAGAAAAATAGTAACAAAGAGTGGTCTATATATAATGGAAAGAAGTAGGAATCAATACGGAACCTTTACATGACATGTTTAGATGGTAGCTAGTATGTATTAATCAACCTTATCTTTAAAACTTGTAAGGATGAAAGGGTTTGAAATGAATCAGTGCTGTTTTTGTCTTGTTTTTTTTTGCAGAAAATGACAGTTTTCAAATAATATAGCTACTTCATTGTGTGGAGGAGAAACTCCACCCGGCTCTCTGAAATTAAAATTGTAGTAACTCTATTTTTTTTAATAGAAAAGAAAATCAATATATTAAATTAAAAGTGAATAAAAAACTGAGAGTATAGAATATAACAAATGAATAAGATGTGCTTAAAAAATTTAAAAATTTTTTTTTACTAAAAATCAAAGATTATAGAAAAACAATAAAAACTACCGAAAACTCTAGTAAAAAAATAAAAATTGGTACACTAGAGCAAAAGCCCAACACACAAGCCACTACTCTCCAATCTGATCTAAACAACTACCACGACACACAACCCTCTAGAAAGAGCAAGTGGAAGTAAGGACAACCCAAACACTGCCTCCTATTCTGATCCAAACTAAAGTCACAACACATTAGATCAGAAAACAAATTAAAAGAACGAAACTCCTAAATACAAAGAAAATGTAATTGGCCACCCAACATATCCTTATGTAGAAGTTGCCCATTCGGTGGATCCGAAGCAGGATTTGGCTTTAGCCACATGCCTAGTAGTTTGACCTTCTCTTGAGACTCTTTTGGGCAAGATTTGTTTTTCGCTCTATGTTCAAACTTAAGTTTATGCCCAGCATATTGGAGGTCCAAAGGGATAAGGAAAGTGGTGGTGGTCTTTTCAAACCATCGTATTTGAAAATCATTATGTTTAATATGTTTAATTGCTACATCGTTGGGCAATGAATGTGTGTTATCAGGCAAGTGAATTTCGTTCAAGCAGCGCTAGACGAGTAAGGGGCGAAGGAATAGGGTGAAAACATAGCTCCTTGATTTTGTATGGAGGGTGGTTTGTCGCTGGAGCGTCGTCGGGCGACGCAAAAGCGAGAGGTGGTCTTTGGGCGAGCAAGATGCATCGTCGAGCGATGGTCACCAGAGAAACTAGAGACCCTGGAGTTTTGTAAGAGGATGGTGTTGTCGCTCTCTCGTCGCTGGGCGAGCACCAGGCGATGGACATCAGTAATATTTTAAAAGTGTCATAACTTGAGTTTTAGGACTACGATTGACGCGTCGTTCAAAGTGTTAGGAAACTAACGTGATGAACTATACCTTGGTGGAATAAAAAGAGTCATATGATGGGTTTTTCCAGTACCTATGCTTTCATGAATAAGATGATTGAGTGATTGTTTCAATATGGTGTATGTGTATACGATGAATTGTTGATGTTATTATGATATTGTTTTGTGTTATGAAACATGTGTTGATATTTATGATGATTATATAAACGATGATGTGTTTTAACTAGCAGTGGTCATTTGGTTATTAAGATGTTTTGTATCATGCATTCATGGCATAAGTTCGGGTGTAGCCTAGTGATGATTGTAAGACATTATTTCAGTGAGTTTTGTTGGACAAATAGTCCATTGATGGCCTCAATCCCATGGTGTGGATTGAGTGCAATTTGTGATGTGCTCTGGTTTCAAGCGGGAATCAATCCTTATGGTGAGGATCTTTGAAGAAAATGATGATGATGTCATCAGTGAAGCTTTGGTACCACATGCATGAATCTAAAGAAGTTGCATTGCATTATATGTGGCATTGCATGATGATTTGATTGATTGATGTTTTGTGAATGCGTGTTTGTGATAATTGTTAATTGATGGTATTATCACGTGTCTGATGTGTATTATAATGCTTAAAGGTTTGAGTATAACATGAGGTTTTGATGTTGTGTTGCTTTGGTGTTGTATCATGACTACTATATTTATTCATTACACCTTTTAAATGATTATGATTGACTCACCCTTTCTACTTGGAAATATTGCCTCTATACGTGAGTAACTTGCAGGTAATCAAGAATAGTTCATCGAGGTTTAGAGGATAGTTGCATATTGTGTTCTTTAGTTCCTTTAGAATAAAATGGGTCTTGCTCTGATATGTTACATCGAGGATGAGATTGTTTAACTTGAATAATTATGTCATTTTGTTTAATTTGATGTTTTAAACTATCTTTTAGGGTATTTGTTTTAATTGAGTTGTGAGTCATAAATGAGAAAGTATGATGAGGATTCTATGAAGTATTTTTAATAAAGTGTTTTGAAACTATGAATTCTGCTTCGAGAAGTTGAAGTGACATTGTCATTAATGAAGTATTTGTTATAATTGAATTTTAAAACTCGTGTTACGGAGCAGGATGTTTTATATGACGTTTGTATGAAGATGTGACACCCTTGTTGGTGATTCTATTTGTTTTATTTTCGTAAAATTATATGCGGAATATATGTGGATTTAGAAGGGTGTTAAAAAAGTAACCTTCGAGCATACTAAGATAATTGAAACCCACAACAGAGTCGACCAATATTTTGGGGACACATGTGGGGTATTTGTCTTGTAGGATTGCAACATTCAGATCTCTGCAATCTATGAAAAACCTTAATGATCACTACGACAAATAAGGGAAAAGACAGCACTTTTTTTTACATAGACAGTGCTTAAAAGTGTTACATATACCAGCACTGTTGTAGGTAAAGACAATGGTTTTTTAATGCAAAAGCGCTGATTTATGTCACTTTTAGGCAGCGCTTCATTCCATAAGCGCTCTCTATTGTCTCCTTAGGCAACGCTTTTTTCTTGAAAAGTATTTTCTATGGTTTCCCTTTAGACATCGCTTTTAAAAGCATTGTCTAATGTATCTTTTAGTTCTTTTTTAATTCTCTTTTAGGCAACACTTTCTTTAAAAGCGTTGTCTTTCAATAAGCACACATAATTTAAATTCCAATAAATTGATACAACTTGAAAATATATATATATATATATATATATATCAACCCTAGCTAAAAAATAATGAACTTGTCTTCTGTACATATCAATAACTTTTAGTAACTTGCTATCTCTATCTTCAAGATATGCACCTATCTAAAACAAAACCAAAAAATTAAAAGGCATCAGAACCAAGCTATATAACACATAAATCTTATAACTATTATAATTTAACATAAATCTTATAACTATTATAATCTAACACAAACCAATGTTACATCTAAAAATCAAGAATTTGTTACAACCCACCATTAGAAATTGACAAATTCATACCAACAAAGACCATGATACAAATAAAACTTTATTTGAATTTAATACCAATATCATCGTAACTAACCTTCCACATAACAACAACAATATTACAACACAATTTACCACTATTGACGATATGATATCTCATCAAAACTCATTATTCAAACTCAACCCAAACTCCAAACACTAAAACACTAACAATGTCATCAATATCAATTTTCTTCAAAATATTCACCAAACATAATAATAAATTCCATCAACCCTTAATTCCCAACAACTTCCAGAACTATTCCAATCCATAAATTAGAACATCACAACAACAAAAAATCTCTAAGGCCCATAAACTTCACATAAATGAAAGAAAGACAATACCTTATAAAATTTTCATCTCAAGAATGTATTGACATCATTCCTCTTTAATTTCTTCCAGTTGATCTTTCGAGTAAGTAGCACACTTGAATTCATCAAAGTACTACATAATATAATATAATATGATTTAGTTACCACTAATTAATTAGATGAAACATCTGTTAAATATTAAAATGAATCTTAACTTATAAATCCATACCATGTTTGGAATCTCTATTTGATCCAAAAGAATATTTTATCTCATAAACCTCAATATAAAATAATTGCAATCTATACCATTATGCTGACCAGGACACTACACATTAATAAAAAAATACGAATATATATCAGAATATATAGTTTAATTTGTTTTATCAAGTAGCATCATTATTATAATCGAAATTATAAAAATATATATGTACTCTAATCTATGTAATGTTGTTTGTTTTACTCTTTGGTACTCGAGCTATTCTTTGTGATCATAATATTTGTATAACTTAATAAAATATAAACAAATATTTAGATGAATCTCACGTAAATAAATAAATATACACACGAATATTTAAAACAATCTCACTTACGTATCAACCATCATCTTCATAACTAGGTATTTTTTTGGATCAACAAATAACGAATTCAGATAATATACTATTTCTCTAATAGTATTAGTTGCAACCAACAATCAGTGTACACTGTAAAATTAAACAAAAGTTAGATGGAAATTTTCTACACAACGTAAAAAACGAAAAATTTTAATAAATGAAGTTAGAAGTTAAATCTAACCCATGGCCTGTATTATATGGTAAAAGAAACAACTTTTTTATATCTTTGTTGGTCACAAATGCACCGACTAAGTACTCTTTGAGTTGATTTGGATCTTGTGCATGTAATCGTGCATTGATACAGTTGGGAGATAAGAAAGAGAATCTTTTTGCCAATTGATACGGGCGCATCAATTTTTCATACAAGAACCTTAAATAAAAACATAATTAACATTAGACTATTCATTTAAATGAGTAAATAAATTGTTCAATTAATTAAATAAAGCTGATCGGAGTATCTCATGTAAGAATTGATAACACTGACGCCTAATTCAGTATGATCAAAAATCTGATCCATATCCTCTTTAACAATTATTTCAGAATAAGGAAAACCAAAAATATCTTCCTCCATAGTTATACCACGAGCAGCACCATCCATCACATTCGTTGTTCCCATATATTTTTGAAGGCACGACCTAAATGGAGACATAGATGTTTTTTTAGACTCGATATTTTTAAGATCCTTTTTTTATGGACATGTTGCTAAATTCAGGCTTCTTATTCCTGCTGACTTGTTGCAACCCTT